AGAGCCTCATATTGAAAAAGTAAAAGTAACTTACATCTTTGTAATTGGCACAGTAAAATCTAGATGCGTTAGTAATTTTTTTACAAGCAGTAGAAAAATGTCCACATAGGAGCAAAGCATCAGAAATTAAGTAACCTAAAGTATCTATTTGGAGATGCTTGATGTCCATTGATTCAAACCATTGGTTACTACAGCCACAAGCTCCGATAGCGTTATAAATTTTGATTAAGGCTAATTTACTATTATAGTTGGATGGACTTTTTTTGAGAGATCGTTCCAAAATGATAAGAAGATTAAGTAACTTTGAATTGTCCTTTATATTTGATTCGTTCAGCAAAAGATATGAAATGACAAGTACGAAAGGATCTGGAGGTTGGAAATCACTCGGCAGCAAATCAACTCCAAATTGAATACTATGGTCGTATAGGTCGAGCAATCTCGCTATAAGTTTCTGTTTATCAAAATCTTCCATAGAGCTATATCTACCAGCAAAATAGTTCAACTTGATAAAACATAGAAGTCGATACATTTCATTTAGGGTTGTAGGTTCTTTATCCAATAATGGGCCATGAATAACTTCGATAGCATCAATAATCTACAAATGAAATGAAATATTAATATTTATAAATTCAACTAAATAACATATAAATAATACTTACTGAGCATACATCAGCTTTAGGTTTGTTAAACTTGGTGAAAAGGTATGAGAAATCAAAAAAGGAGGCATCTTTGTGTCCAAAAAGAGTGAAAAACTGGGTATACAATTTGATTGAATCCACAGAGATAGTCGATAAAAGGGAATGGTAAGATGGGTGATTTTCACATCTTGCCTTTAGAGTTTCGTAGAGTTCAATTCTAGCGATGTAAGGTGCTCGATACTTAGAGTGTGAAATTTTCTTGCTACTCTGTTTTCCGTTTGAACTAGATTCGTTCTTGATATATAAATATTTAGAGATGGTTTCGATTACTTTAAATATGAAGGGATTATCTTCATTTTTGGGCACTTGGTCAGCAGAAGAATGAACATTAATGGCTAATTGTTCAAGTTTAAATGCAACCTCGTAAAGCTGTTGGTAATATTCAAGCTGGTCAACATTATTGTCTATTAGGGATCGGAAAGTTTCAAAAGCTTCTTGATAACGTGATGTTTTCAAATAAAGATATGCTTTCCGTCGCCTTAAGAAGTCTAAATAATTAGGCAGTAGTCGCGCAAGAGGACCATCCGTAGCTTTCAATATTTCTTCAAAATTTTCTTGTTTCTCCAATATCATGAGATACAATTCCACTTCAGCTTCCGATTCTACTTTATCTTCATCAATAAACTTTTTACACATCTTCTGGGCCAATGAAAGCAACATTTTACTGGCCATCTCTTTATCTGGATTGGTGATTGCCTGTTAAAATAAAAATTAGATGTAAGTTTCATAATGTATATTATAAAATGAAGAAAAACAGGATTATTAAAAAGAACTTACTTGCATATAGACACTCATTATAGCCCAGAAATAATATGAATTTTTTTGCTTTAATTTGTACAAATTTAAAGCAGTTTGTTGTTGTTTCTTGAAATTTCCGATCTTCACATACGCCATGAATAATGCAACCATGAGATCCTCATTAGTAGGGTCTTTTTTAGAAGCATTTTCGTATGCATCTGCAATGAGATCCGCTAAAAAGAGGAAAAGTTTATTTTTATTAAATCTATTTTTTCTCAAGCAAAATTTCAAAACTCACATCTATTAAGTTCTCGATAACAGATAGCCATGGCTTGAAGGGTACAGTCATCTGTTGGCACTTCTTTTTGAACTTCTTGTAAAACATTCCAAGCTTTGCTAGTTTGACCAAGCCTTAATAAAGCTAGACCTTTCAGCACTTTTGCACATTGAAAATCTTTGTGTTTTTTTAATAACTTGTCAGCTTCCTGTAGAGCTTTCTTGGAATTTCCATTATCCAGACAATCTATAAAAATAAGATAAAGATTAGGAGATGTTATTCCAAATTACGAATGGATTTATGAAAAATGATAAACAACGAATAATAAAATTCATATGAAAGATAATGTAAACTTACCATAGATTGGCCGCAGCCGTCTTTCATTGAATAAATTGATCATTTTTGATTAGTTTTGATCCTAAATTTAAACAAAACAATAGATTTGGGGTGAAGTCAAAGAGTAACCGAAGAAGCGAGAGCATTCAATACATCTTCTTCTACATTCTCACCAATTTTTTTTGGTGTCAGAAGATGGCGCGGTCCAAGAGCCTGTTTCTTTTTACTTTCTTTACAAATTTTTTACTCTCTTTTTCTCTTTCATTTCTCTTTCTTTTTATAATTAAAAATTAAATTAACACAATAAATTTCAAAATTAGAAAAGGCTTTTTCGATTTATTTTCAATGTTTTTAATGTTATTTTCATTGATTTTGGTGATACAATCAAGAGCAGCATTGGCAAAAATATCCAAATTTTGTGTATTCAAGAAAGCTTCAAAGATATCCAGAATTACTCGTAATTGTCTGACTCGTTCAATCTGACGCTCCGATAAATCATTAACAGAGTTTTGTTGAGAATTGATGGCAAATCCAGATTCAGGAAGCACAACTCCTCGCAAAGCTGCAAATAATGATCGCCATCCTGATCTGATATCTTCTCTGGACCCTTCAACAAAACCACAAATTGAACTGACTATCATCTCTTGAATATCGGAATCACATAACTCTAAAAGTAGAATCTTTTCGTAAGGAATGAAGAGAGCCTCGTTGAAATGGAAGTAATCTAATTCAGTGTGAATGGTTGAAATAATATCATTGACTGCTGATACAGCTGATTTACAGATAGTAATGTCAAATCTCTGACAATTGGAAGCTTCAATCAAGTGAGGAACCGCAAGTGCCCAACATCTCATGAAATGAATAAGTGGCCGGCCGGATTTACCAATTCGTAAAAGGACATCACAGAAACGAGCGAACAAGAGATTTGTTTTTTGCTTTTTTAGAAAGTGCATTAATCTGACGACTAGAGTTTGAAATGAGAGCTTCAAGGAAAGCAAGAAGCATTTGAAGTTCAGCCGAGAAGTTGCTTCAGTAAAAAGACGATCCGAGAGGTGAGACAAGCATTCGAGTGATCGTTCCAACAAAGAATCTACCAAAATTCCATCGCCTTTTCTTCCATTCTTTTCGTTTAAAACAGCATTGATACATTGCTCCAAGCATTTGTTAACATCTGACTCAGTTTCCAATCCAAGAAAATTTGAAGATACATCAATCTGACTGAATTCAGGTAGCGGGTCATTTGATTGTTTTCTTGAACGAAGAAGAGAGCTAAGTCTGCTTTTAAGTGGCTTCTTGGTTCTAGAAGAGAAATATTCATTCTCTAATTCGCTTATAAAGGTACAAATTTGAAACATATAGTCCCAACAAGCCTCACAGTGAGTTCCGATTTGTAATCCAGCAGTTAACATTGATCGAAGACTTAACACCTGAGAAACATGTGGAGAGATTGGAGTCTTTTTTGATTGATTTGATTTTGCGCATTTATTTTCGATCCAAGTTTTTCTTTATCAATTTTCGATAATAGACTGACTAGAATAGAGCGAGATAATAAATGAAAAATACCATTGCACCGGGGTTGAAGGCCTAAAGCTATGCAAAGTTTTGAAGCCGTTTGTAGAGTGGCTAGACAGTTGATCATGATGCTTCTTCGCTCAGTATTGTCTTTCTCAGAACCATGATTAAAATCAGAAGAAAAGGAGATTGATTTGAAGAGTTGGCATCACTGGTAAAAATTGATTCCATAATTGAAATGATTGAATCCCAAAATGTATCAAGAACACGTCTTGCAATTATTCGACCAACATTTTGACCATCATTCACTGGATTTGTGAGCTGTAAACTAGTTTGCGTCAATTTACGATAATCTGAAAGCTCATAGCTACCAGGAGTATCACTATCACCATCAATATCTGAAATATAAACAAGATTAGAAACAATTAGGTATTTATTTATACTGATTGCAAGTCTTTTCAAGTGCAAGTATCATTTTTACCTCTTATCATGTTAATTAGAGCAGTATTATTAGACGATGAATACATGTATCCAGAGTCACCTAAAAGATTGTTAGCTAATATCTGCTGATACAGTTCGGCTAACCAAGTTGATGATAGATAGACCAAGACTCCACTATTGTAAATATCATCAATAAATTCCTGTTCAGTAATCGGTGGATTAATTTGCTTCGATTCATTGTAATAGTTGCTTTTATCAATCTCAGGGTAAGGGATAAAGCAGAGTAAACAGCCAAGTAAACGCCGTCTTCATTTATGATTAAGGGGTCACTTGATGATTCGATGACTGTCTTGCGTTTCTCCCAAACAGCTGCAAGAATGAAAAAATTAATAATCAGAATCAGAAAATATCAAATGAAAAGAAATAAAAGTGCAGATGCTTACCTTTACAGAAATTGGAAGAAAATTTTTGCAGTGCATTGTCAATTTGAATACTATTTTTCATTGCCAATAATTCGGGTAAAATTTGAGTCAAATCTTTAATTATATCACGGGCATTTTCACGCTCTTGATTGTTAAGTAAATCGTGACAGTTTAAGATGGTTTGATGGCGTTCATTCTCTTCTCTCACTTCCGAAATAATCTTGCTTCGATATTTAGAAAGTTCATAATCCTGATCATCTTCATTTTTGCCATCAAAAACACTGTCAAGATTCTTGTTCTCAATGATTGAGATTTCATCATTAGCATATTCATCACAGTTGGGCTCATCAAGGGCACATTGAGAACCAAGTAAACTAATAGATTGTTTTAAAGAGGTACCTTCGTCGTTAACAAAAATTTCATCTCCATCTGCTTCATAATCATCGAGTTGACCATCACTCTGAACTTCATCCTGAGAATGGCCCATGATTTCCTTCAGTTTATTTTTGAATGTAGTCATTTTTAGATTATCGTAATCTTCTTGTATCAATGTAGAATCAATAATTCTGCAAAGATAAAGCATAAATTAAATTAATAGAAAAAAATAAAGCAATATTTTTCAACTTACATCTTAATCAAATTTAAATCTTGATTGGTACATGACAACTGGTTTTGTGATTTGATGGTGGTACACAATTTAATAGTGCACTGAGCGTCTTTAAACAACTAGAGAAGATATTAGAAAAGAATGGAGCAAAATTATGAGGAATCATTTCATGATACACAAAAAACAACGAAGAGGCTATGATGTTATAGACTCCGAAGTCAGTCGATTGAGCCGCTGAGTCAGTTGATGAAGATTCGACTGAGCGCCAGTTGATTGAGGTATTGACTGAGTCGACTTAGTCGACTCTAATTAGAGTCGACTAAGTCGACTCAGTTCACTCAAAATTTGAATTTAAGCGCCAAACACGTCATTTTTTCAACAATTTTTCATTATGCATGGCGACTTTGATTATGTAACGTAGATCTGCGATGATTTTGATATTAAATAAAAAAGCTAATATATTAACTAAAAAGATCATTTTAAGGCAGAAGATGTACTTTCTTGTTTGTTTCTAGATCGTCTCTTAAATACCCCCTCTTACCCCCTCAAAAATTGTGTTTTGAGTCGAAATGAGTCGACCGCCGGTCGTTTTGAGTGAAAGTCGACTGATTCGACTTGAGTCGACCGCCAGTCGATAAAACCCCCAGTCAGTCAGTCGTTGAAAAAACGACTGACTTCGGAGTCTATGATGTTATACTAGAAATAAGTGAGTTAATAATAAAAGCAGCCTGGCTTTCACATTGAAAGTTTCTGGTTTAAGAGGGAAAAAAGTGCCCTTTCAATGCGCAGTAAGCTAAAAAAGGAACGATGTCATTTCGAAGCGAGCGCTTTGTTTTGGATTAACTTACAGCAGTTGAATGAATATTTGTGCATGAATTAATGATTCAAATTATCATGTTCAACACTTTCTTCAAATATTACAAATTTTTGAGGAACAAAATATCCTCTCAAAATGAAATTTCATCTGTATGACTCAATTAAGGTAAGGTTGATATTTCAGGTAACAAGTTGACTTAATTGGAAATATGTTACACTGTTTCCGATTTCACTTATATTAGTCTCTTGGTAAAGCGTTTGATGAATGGAAAGATTAAAGGTTAAAATAGTTTTATAACGTTTCAAAGCTTTGGAGATAGATTGGTCTGAAAAAGTTTGACTGACAATTTGTCTGTGAATTTGTTTGACTAAAAATGTTTATGATTCAATTAAATTTTAAAATAATACATGATAAACTAAAAAGTGAATAAAGGCAACAATCTTCTTTATACTAGTAATTAAGATTAATCCTCAAAACCGGAGATTTTTAGGAATCTCGAGTGAAGTTGATTCCTTAAAATTAAGATCTCAATTTTTTTATTGCAATTGCGAATGTATCTCAATCTACTGCTGACATCTATGTGAGCTACAGGAAAATAATATCTAATGAATTTTTCAACATTTTGGATACAAACACTAGACTCAAGGAAAACTGTAGTTTAAGCGTTTAATTATAAAATGTTGATCAACGAAATTCCCGATGATTGTTTACTCGCCATTTTTGATTATATGAACAACACCTACGATTTAATAAACTGCTATAAGGGTAAGTACCAATCGTGCTTCTTGTGTCATAAAATTCATCTATTTCCCTAGTAAGAAGTTTTATGTCAGACTACATGTAAATGGAAAAACCATTTTGAGTTTACCAGGAGCAGTTTTAACTGTACCATAGTTGGTTTGCTTTAAATCATTAAAAGTTGTTTCAATTGTAAAGTGCAGCTCAATTTAATTCAATGTCTTCTTTCTAAAATTAAGATACATTTTCAATTTAACGAGAGTCAATTTTTCGTGGAAAACAACCAATCAGTGATGGTTGCAATTTTTTGGGCAAACCTAATCGACCATTTGCTGGATTGACCAGAGATAGTTTCGTTTGAGTCAACTAGCTTCGAACGTTGAGGTTTCAAAATAATAACTTACAACTTACAACTTTGTTAGTATAAAAGTTTCATCTTGTGATTATTGCATGACTAAACCATCTGACTGTTTAGGCGCAGCATTTGAATATTTACACAGATGTTAAGTCTAGTGTTGTATTGTTCCGAACCGATATAATATTGTTGTATCATTAGGTTGGCCGGATACAATTTAGGGTCGATTTTAATTTTATTAAAATTCATGTGATTATCGCACAGAGATGAATATTGGTACTTAGCATCTTACGTATTCATGCATTTTTCGCGGTTAACCAACAGTCCAAGGTAGATGGCCCGAGAGACATTTAAATTTAATCGAAAAATGGGAAAAAATAAAATGCCCTATTCAATAACATTGATTTGAATCAGAAATACAGTTTTGCAAAGGGTCCCCTTTGGACATTTTTCACTTTTTTAGCGTTTTTTCGCAATTTATTTTTTCCCATTTTTCGTTTTTCGTTCGTTTCGTCCATTTTCCCAATATCTCAGCAATTAATTGAGATAATCAATTTTTATTAACAGCAAAAAATGCATGAATATTGTAAGATGCTAAGTACCAATATTCATCTCTGTGCGATAATCACATGAATTTCAATAAAATAAAACTCGACCCTAAACTGTATCCGGCCAACCTAATATTTTTGTTCTCCAGTAACAAGAACAGTACAAAATTTTGCTCCATTCGCAATTCATTCGTCTGAATATGAAATAAGTTTGGTTTTGAAAGGATTATTACTTAATTTAGTAAAATTTAATTACAGTGTGCGTTAAATGGAGCTATTTAATTGATAAGCGGACTAAAAAAACTAAATATTTGATCGGTAAGATTCAAGTTTTATTAATGTTTCATGCTCATTGTAATCCATTTCTTAATCACAGAAATTTATATTTTCAGATCAGTGTGGTTATTCATCTGATGCTGTTTCTTATGAAAACCGACGTTTGATTGATTCAACCTGTCTGAGTGAATTATTTACAAATTTAAAAGTAGGTTGATATTATTAATCCAATTTCTTTTTGCATCTTTAATTGAATATTTAATTTTCTTATTTATTTTATTAACAAAGGTTGTTGAATTGTCTTCTAGTATATACAACAAAGTAGAAGATGCTATTGGATTAGTTAAAAACCAAAAAAATCTGAAAGGATTAATCAATTCTTTTGATGAACCAATTGAAAAATATTGTGATGAACCCGAAATGCTTTCCGTCTATGATTTCAATCCAAACATTTTACGAAAATGTTCCAGCTTAAAGCAATTGGACATTTTGTGTTATAGTCTAGAGGATTTGAAAAGAGATGCACATTATTTGCCAAACCTTGAAAGACTAAAGATTCAATTTCATTGTACATGTAATTATGGAAATATTTTGCCCAGAAATGTTCATTTATGAAAATCTATCGTTCAGTTACAGAAAATCCCTACGATGGTCCAGTATTGGAAAAGCTCAAAATACTTGAATTGTCTTACGAATGCTGGGGACGAAAAATTTTTTATGGTTTCCAGTTGATGGATTCATGTCCTAATTTACAAAGTGCACATATTAACATGAATACTGATTCTTGGTTTTTAGATGAAACAATGAAACACAAAAGTTTACAAGATTTAGTTATACAATATGTAAGTATTATTCAGATTTGAAATGTAATTGCTTTTTGGAATATAGGAATTTCTTGAGAATAAAATCAACAAGGTTAGGTTAGGCCAACATGGAAAGGATCATCTGTTCAAAATTTTTCCATATAAACTAATTGATTTTATAATTTCAGGCTGGATATGATGACGAAGGAGATGACTGGAATAATTTAAAAAGATTGCTCATGAAATATCCGAATCTCAAACATCTTTCGTTGAGATTTGGGAATATTAAAGATGAAAATATCGAGGAATTGGTTCACATTTTACCCAATTTAGTGCTATTGGACGTTAGTGGGTGTAACAGAGTTACTCAAGAAGCTGCCGATATTGTTAAAGATTATTGTAAAAGATGTGGACGATCAATCAAATTTTACTTCAATGGAAATTATAATGAAATCGAATCAGATTGGCCTCAATTATCCACTAAACACGAAAAAATTAGTCGAGGCTTTGATTTCATGAAACATTGCTTTCGCAAAGACTTTAACTACCTCTCACATTTTTTGATTCCAATTAATTATTGAAAAGTACTTATTGAATATTATCTATTGTCTAACCTAAAGAAATGTCTTTGTGGTCGAATGATTAGAACTTTAGATCCTATGATAACTTTCATCGAAGTTTCAAAAATAATGATAATAGGTAAAGGATGAATGATTGTTGCTATTTCTAAATAAAATAAACATTTATTTTACTTTGGAGATAGATTAGTCTGAAAAGTCTGACTGAATTTGTTCAATTAAAAATGTTTATGGTTCAAGATATTGCAATAAAATTTTAAAGTGAAAATGATTAGACTAAAAATTGAATAAAGGCAACAATTTTCAGTGCACTAGTAATCAGGGTTAAGTTGACAAAATCGGAGATTTTTAAGAATCTCGAGTGAAATTGAATCCATAAAATTAAAATCTCAATTTTTGTAATGTAGCATTCAATCTACTGCTGACATCTATGGAGACTACAGGGGAAAACAATATCTTATGATACATTCTGACCAATTCTCGTGCTTAACCACCAAATCTCTTACCATCTTACCGTCTCAAAGAAAACTGTAGTTTTAGCCATTTTATTATTAATATTTTAATATTAAAAATGTTGATCAACGAAATTCCCGATGATTGTTTGCTCGCCATCTTTGACTATCTGAACAACCTGGATGATTTAATAAACTGCTATAAAGGTAAGCACCAATCATGTTTTTTGTAACATAAAATTCATCTTTTTCCCTAGTAAGAAGTTTATGCTCACAAATTTTAAACCCAAATATCTTAGGAACCACGCATTTTACAGAAAAAGTGTAATACCAGATTTCATCCCTCAACTAGCTCTCTCGAATGACCCCCCTCCCATCTCAATCCATTCCGGGTCTCTCAAATAGTTCCCTTGTCAGAAAAACCAAAAAAACATTTTGAGTTTACCAGGAGCAGATTTCACTGTATCCTATTCGGTTTGTGTGGATTCAAAAAGTTGTTTCAATTGTAAAGTTCAGTTCAATTAAATTCAATGTCTTCTTTCAAAAATTAAGATACATTTTCAATTTGACGAGAGTCAATTTTCGTGACACACACCCATTCAGTGATGATTGCAATTTTTCGAGTCAACCTGATCGAGGATTTGACCAGAAAGGACCAGAGATAGTTTCGCATCAGTTAACCAGCTTCAGGCTCTTAGGGCCGTATTCACCAACCGAGATCAAAACTAAGATCAATTTAATCTTCAAATCAACTGATTTTGAGCTTAAATAAAATTTTTGTTTCACCAATTCAACTCATTCAAAGCTCAGATCATATGATCTCAAATTAAATGAAATTGAGCTCAACCTTTTTGATGCTAACTTTGCCAATATAAAATTTATAAATTGTCCCTCAACAAGTGTTTGTTTACATTTTTTCACATTGTTTACATTTCCATCACCGACAATTTCACCCATTTCACCCTTAATTAGTTGTTTTTTTGGTATTTTTATTTAATTTTTTATCTAATTATCTTTCATCAACATGTCAACAACACAAATTAATGGGTAAGTGTTTATTTGTACTAAATAACAAACATTTTTTAACATATAATAATTTATATCTCTGTCTTTTCGCTAGCGTAACCTTTTGTCTCAATTTCATCAACCGTGGTTACTGTTATGGACTTGGGTGTAAATTTCTACATGTTAATCGACAAATTGAAAATCACTACAGACGAACTGGTAGATTACCGACAGAATTAGCTAATGAATGGCGAAAGTAAGTTATACCTCCGCTAGCGTAAATATCCCTACTGACTTTTTTTCTTATCATTTACAGCACCCAAATGATACTGGCTAGGAGAGATCCTGATGTTTGCCAGGACCAGAATCAATCCAAATGCTTCAGACTCAATTGCAAATTCGGCAAACATCATGTTTTCAGGAATGACATGGATGCAGGCAATGTCATCGAATTCACATTTCGACCAAGTCCTCAAATGATTGTAAGTTATATTTAACTGAAAAATATTCAACATTTTTAACATTGTTTCATCTTTTTCAGAATTATATTGAAAATGTTTACCAGGCACCCAAACCATACTGGTATTCAGATGTGTTGTGCCATATTAGAACACCATTTCCACTCCTCGCCGAGCATATCATGAAAGTTCTGGTAAGTTTTGCTCGCTAGCGTAATAGTAACAATTATTTAATGATTATTTTTGTTTTTTCGCAGAAACCATTCAGGATTAATAGGAATCAAGTTTCTTTTTATTACAATGGAACGCAAATTCAAGCCAATGATTCCAACATTACTCCGTACTCGCTCGATATTGGAAATGGTGTTGATGTTATCGTTGACGTCACTTTTGAGGAAGGTTCGCTAGCGGAATTGGACTGTGCCATTTGTTTATCTTCAGCCTCCGAAAGATGTTATTGTTTTCCTTGCAACCATATCTTTTGTATTAATTGTTCCCTCAATTGGTTTCTTGGGCTCAGCAACAGTAATTTGAAACTCTGCCCATTATGTAGATCTGATGTAGATCAATTACATTTTAGAGCAGAGGGTCAAATTACTGTTGCTGATCACAGTAACCTTGCCAACATGGCAGACGATGAATTGTCTGATTGGACAATTCAACATCTTGGCAGGCCTTTCACCAGATCCCAAGAAGAACCACCAGCTATTGTTAATTATCTTCCTGCTGGCTTTGGTGGTTATTAGTTAATAAAGTTTTTTTCATTCATTTATATTATTTTTTTCTAGATTTTGTGCCTGCTAAAAATGACGAAAGTTCGTGGTAAAAATTTTACTGATAAAGAAAAGGAACTTTTGGTTTCTCTTATTGAAGATCATCCTAAAAAAGAGTTAACAACGAACCGAAACAACGACAAAGATACTTCTATTGCTAAGAAGAACTTCTGGTGCGAAATTGCTCAAAGTTTCAATAACGCTAGCGGAAATGAAACAACTTTCAATGGTGACCAGTTGAAAGTTTGTTTTAAAAACATGGTAACTCGTGCTAAAAATGCTCAAGCGGAAAACAAAAAAGAAACGATAAAAACGGGTGGTGGTCAAAAGGAAAGTGAAATCGGTTCAATCAATAGTAAAGTTATTAATGTGATTGGAGATACCATAAAGCCATATGACAACCAATTTGATTCAGATGCCAAGTTCTTTTCTCAATCAGAGGTGCTTACTCTGGATGATGAAAATGAATCATCCCAAATTACGCTAGCGTCAACTAAACAGCCAGTGATGGAACAAAACAAAAAAAGAAAATATGCTTCGATAGAGGAGAAAAATGTTTTTATTGAGAAAATGGAATTGGAAAAGTCTGTTTTGATGCAAAAGATGCAGAATATGAAAAGAAAACAATTACTTCTTGATCTTCAAATTAAACAAGTACTTGCATCCTCTGGAATAGATTACTCGGTCGATGTTGAAAGTACGCTAGCGGACCTTGGCTCAAATTGATTTATTATTAATCTTCGCTTATCAAAACCTGCTTGTGTTCCTTGTTCAATTCTTTCTGCTTCACGATGAACAATTGGATTTTCATCTATATCTGTATCTTCTTCTACAAATTCATCTTTTTCAATAATTAGAAAATTCCAAAGAACTGCTGTGGCTAATATAACGGTCAATGAAGTTGTGAATTTTAAACGTAGGTCATTCAAACAATAAAATCTTCTTTTCCATGCTCCGATACTCCTTTCGACCAAATTCCTCGTCTTTATATGTTTCTTTTGGTAAATCATCTCCGCTAGCGTATTAGGATCACTTAATGGTGTCATAAGATACGTTTTACAAGGATATGCTGAATCACCGAGCAAATGTCCTGTATAACTTTGTGATTCTAATACGTAATAAGGTTCACTGTGTTTAAATATTCTACTATCGTGAGTACTTCCTGGCCATCTTGCATTTATGTGTAAAAATTTCATATTATGGTCAAAAACAACTTGACAGTTAACTGTTATCTCATTTTTTCGGTTTCTGAATCTTTCATGTAAATCTTTCGGTACTTTCACTTTAATATGAGTTCCATCAACAACACCAATTACACCAGGAAACCCTGCAATCTTTGAAAAACCAGAATGCAACTGGATTAGTGAATGAGTATCCGCTAGCGTAATTTATATTTACCTTGGCTTCTTCTGTTGGAGATGGGAAAACAATGAATTGTGGAAGTTTTCTTGCTAGAACAGTAGACACCTTCAGTACTATTCGTGAAATTGTTGGTTGGGAAAACCCGATTAGATCACCACTCACTATTTGAAATGAGCCAGTTGCGAAGAATCTCAATGCTATAAGTAGTTGATTTTCGGGACTAACAGGGTGATTTCGTTTTCCAAATATTTCTATTTCATCTTTGATGAGATCGAGTAGCACGTGGAAGGTCTCTTTATTCATTCGGAACCTTTTTTTGAATTCAAAATCATCAAACAGTACAAGAAGGTCATTTTTCGGTAATATTGTTCTTCTTTGAGGATTTCTACGCTGGCGAAAACCAAAAGCGAATAGATATTCATCCATTTTTCAGAAATTTAGGAAAAAACTTAATTAATTTTCACTCAAAGATCAAGAAAAAGCACATGCAAATGAAAAGACAAGTCGAGATCAAGGAGATGATCTTGGTAATTACCAAGATCAAATTTTGATCCACACTTGATCAATATCTAGGATCAAATTGAGCATGATCCGAGTTGGTGAATAAACATTTTAATATCGGCTTAAATAATTTCGGTTGGTGAAATAAAAAAAAATGATTTCAAGATTAGTTTGATCAGCTGAGATCTTAGCTTAAGTGTGATCTGAGATCAAATTTTAATTTCAATTGGTGAAACAAAAAAGCTAAGATTAATCAGTTTGATCTCCGAATCAAGCTTAAACTCGGTTGGTGAATACGGCCCTTAGTTATACAATATGTAAGTATTATTCAGATTTGAAATGTAATGACTTTTTGAAATATACTTGTACATTTCAGATTAAAATCAATAAGGTTAGGTTACGTCTTCATGAAAAGGGTCATCTGTTCAAAATTTCTCCACATAAACTAATTGATTTTATATTTACAGTATGGATGGTATGACGAAAATGATAACTGGAATAATTTAAAAAGATTGCTTACGAAATATCCGAATCTCAAACATCTTGCGTTGAGGGACACTCGGAATATAATAGATGAAAATATCGAGGAATTGGTTCTTATTTTGCCAAATTTAGTGCTATTGGATGTTAGTGGGTGTAAGGGGGTCACTCAAAGAGCTGCTGATTATGCTAAAGATTATTGTAAAAGAAATGGACGATTAATCAAATTTTACTTCAATGGGAATCGCGAGAAAATCCAATCAGATTGGCCGCAGTTATCCAGTGAATACGGAGTAAGTCGAGGCTTCGATTTCATGAAACATTGCTTTTTCAGAGACCATTTTTTCCTTTCTAATTTTTTGATTCCAATTGATTATTGAACAGTACTTATCTGTTGATCTTGTTGATTGTTGATATTACATTGTATATTTTTTTATTTTTTACCTCGAAAGCCAATTCAAAAAGTTTCATTATCTTTATTATTCATTTACTTTATTTCGCGATCTGTTTTTCTAGTGAATATTATCTATTGTCTAACCTAAAGAAATTTCTTTGTGGTCAAAGGATTTTAACTTTAGATTCGTAGATAACTTTCATCGACGTTTCAAAAATAATGATGATTGTAGCTATTTCTAAATAAACGCTTGAACATTTATTTAACTTCTTTGGAGATAGATTGGTCTGAAAAGTCTGACTGAATTTGTTTGATTAAAAATGTTTATGATTCAAGATATTGCAATGAAATTTTAAAGTAAAACATGATTAGACTAAAAAGTGAACATAGGCAACAATTTCAATACACTAGTATCCAGGTTAAGTTGACAAAATCGGAGATTTTTAAGAATCTGGTGTGAATTTGAATCCTTAAGATTAGAATCTCAATTTTTGAAATGCAATTAAGAATGTATCTCAATCTACTGCTGACATCTATGGGAACTACAGGGAAAAGCAATGTCTAATGATACATTCTGGTCAAACCTAGTGATTCACCGTTGAATCTTTTACTATTTCTGCTACAATCAATAGACTGAAAGAAAACTGTAGTTTTAAACATTTTATTATTAATATTTCAATATTAAAATGTTGATCAACGAAATTCCCGATGATTGTTTGCTCGCCATTTTTGAAGAAGTTTTATGCTCAGAGTTATATTCTTTGAGTTAAATTCAATTCAATGTTTTCTTTAAAAAAAAAGATACATTTTCAATTTGACAAGAGTAAATTTTTCGTGACAGACACCCATTCAGTGATGATTGCAATTTACGGGCAAACCTAATCGATGATTCCCTTTATTGACCAAAGATAGTTTTGCATGAGTCAACTAGCTTCCGCCGTTGAGGTTTCAAAATAATAATTCATTTTAAAAATTTCATCTTGTGATAATTGCATGAACCAACCATCTGACTGATTAGGCGCAGTATTCGAATATTTTACAGATGTTATTTCAAGTGTTGTATTGTTAAGAACCGAAAACAATATTGTTGTATTATTTTTGTTCTCAATAATTCGGATCAAACAGAAGTAACAAGAACAGTACAAAATTTGGTTCCATTCTTAATTCATTCATCTAACATGAAATAAGTTTGGTTTTGAAAGTATTACTACTTAATTTAATAGAATCTGATTAGAGTTTGCGTTAAATGGAGCAATTTAATTGCTAAGCGGACCAAAAAAATCAAATATATGACATGTAAGATCAAGTTTTATTAATGTTTCGTCTTCATCTGATGCTGTTTATTATAAAGACCAACGTTTGATTGATTCAACCTGTCTGAGTAAATTATTTACAAATTTAATGGTAGGTTGATATTATTAATCTTTTTTGCATTTTTAATCAAATATTCAATTTTCTTATTTATTTTATTAACGCAGGTTGTTGAATTACCCAATAGTTGCCATCAAAAAGTAGAAGATGCTATTGAATTTGTTATAAACCAAAAATCTTTGAAAGGATTAATCAATAATATGGTTGAACCAATAGAAAAATATTGTGATGAACTCGAAATGCTATCTGTCAATAATTTCAATCCACACACTTTACGAAATGGTTCCAGCTTAAAACAATTGACTGTTTCGAATTATAGTCTAGAGGCTTTGGAAAGAGATGCCCATTATTTGCCAAACCTTGAAAGACTAACGATACAAATTACTGGTAATTATGAAAATATTTTGGTCCGAAATGTTTGCTTATGAAAATCTATCGTTCAGGTCCAGACAATCCCTACGATGGTCCAGTATTGGAAAAGCTCAAAATACTTGAATTTTATTACTATTGCTGCCAGGCAGACATTTTTCATTGTTTCCAGTTGATGGATTCATGTCCAAATTTACAAAGTGCACATATTTCCGGGGATACTACTAATTGGTTTTTTGATGAAACATTGAAACACAAATGTTTGCAAGATTTAGTTATACATTGTGTAAGTATTGTTCAGATTTGAAATGTTTATTTGAATTATACAATTTCATTCAGATACATTTCAGAATAAAATCAATAAGGTTAGGTTAGGTCAACATGGAAAGGGTCATCTGGGTAAAATTACTTCCAATAAAATAATTGATTTTATATTTACAGTATGATGATGAAAATGATAACTGGGAATAATTTACAAAGATTGCTTATTAGATATCCGAATCTCAAACATCTGCGTTGTGGGGTTTTGAGGGTATAACAGATGAACACATCGAGCAATTGATTCACATTTTACCCAATTTAGTGCTATTGGATGTTATCGGGCTTGATGGAGTCACTCAAAGAGCTGCTGATTATGTTAAAGATTATTGCAGAAGAAATGGCCGATCAACCAAATTTTACTTCAATGGAAATTGTAATGAAATCAAATCAGATTGGCCTCAGTTATCCACTAAACACGAAAAAATTAGTCAAGGCTTTGATTTCATGAAACATTGCTTTCGCAAAGACTTTATCTACCTTCCACATTTATTGATTCCAATTGATTATTGAAAAGTATTTATTAATATATTTAAAGTATTTGTTATTTTTACTTCGAAAGCACATTCGAAGAGTTTCAACTTAATCTGTATTATTCATGAGTGAACGTCCATATTCACGTGTAATACTGTCAGATTTTTTGTGAGCAATTGTAGGTGAGGTGCACATATTAATTACATCTTGAATGAATACCCTACAGTCATTTGCAACATAAATGCAGATATTATTCAAAATGGGATTAGATGGAGCAGCGGCAGCTAAAGCCTGGATACTTTGTGTGTGAGTGTGCGAAACAGTTAATCTGATAAAAAATTGCTTGGTAAAGCGTTTTGACAAATGAAAAGATTGAAGGTAAAAATGGTTTTATAATGATTGATACTTTTATGCTGTTTATGTTATGCTAACATTTATTTGACTTCTTTGGAGATATATTGATCTAAAAAAGTTTTGTTGGAATTGAATTTGTTTGATTAAAAATGTACATGGTTCAAGATTGCAATAAAATTTTAAAGTAAAACATGATTAGACTGCAAATTGAATAGAGGCAGCAATTTTCAGTGGACTAGTAATTAAGATTAAGTCGTCTAAACCGGAGATTTTTAAAAATCTGAACTGAAATTGAATCCATTAAATTAGAATTTCAATTTTTGAATTGCAATTAAGAATGTATCTGCTGACATCTATGGGAACTACAGGGAAAAACAATTTTAAATGATACATTCTGGTCAAACCTAGTGATTCACCGTTGAATTCCATCTTGGCTACAATCACTAGACTCAAGGAAAACTGTAGTCCAAGCGTTTTATTATAAAATGTTGATCAACGAAATTCCCGATGATTGTTTGCTAACCATTTTTGATTATCTGAACAACCTGGAGGATTTAATAAACTGTTATAAAGGTAAGGACCAACTATGTTTTTTGTATCATAAAATTCATCTATTCATCATTCATCTCCTAATCTTCATTTCCCTTGTAAGAAGTTTTCGTTCAGACCGAAGCGAAAAAACAATTTGAGTTTATAAGGAGTAGATTTAACTGTATCATAACCGGTTTGTGAGAAACCATCAAAAGTTGTTTCAATTGTAAAGTGTAGTTAAATCAAAGAGTTATACTCTCTGAGTTAAATTCAATTCAATGTTTACTTTAAAAAATAAAGATACATTTTCAATTCAACGAGAGTCAATTTTTAGTGACAGACACCCATTCAGTGATTATTGCAATTTTTGGGCAATCCTGAGCGACGATTTGCTGAATTGACCAGAGATAGTTTCGTACGAGTAAACTAGCTTCGGCCGTTGAGGTTTCAAAATAGTAATTCATTATAAAAATTTCATCTTGTGATTAGTGCATGACTAAGCCATTTGACTGTTTAGGCGCAGTATTTGAATATTTTACAGATAAAAAGTCTAGTGTTGTATTGTTACGAAGCGAAAACAATTTTGTTGTATTATTTTTGTTCTCAAAAATTCGGATCAAACAGAAGTATAATAGAAATAATAACAAGAACAGTACAAAAATTTTTTCCATTCTTAATTCATTTGTCTAAACATGAAATAAGTTTGGTTTTGAAAGTATTACAGTCACCATTGAGATAATGCACCGCACTGGGAATAGCTTATTTTCACTATTCTTCGGGCAGCGTAATTCATGATTTTCAATCTTCCTTATTAGATCAAATTTAACCTTAAATTTTGCTTTAATCTGATTTGCGAGTTATTGGATTAAAATTTCACGTAAGAAAATTGAATTAAGTCAATTGATAATTAAAGAAATCGAATCAAAATTTGACGAAATTCAAAAGTAGATATAACTCCTCCTCAATAGGGACCATTGAAAAAATGAGTGCATTATCTCGATGGTGCATTACAGTAAGCTACCAGATAATGAGAATCAATTTTTCAACGACCCCTCAATGGAAGAGTTAAATCAAATTCAAATTTCATTTAAATTTCTTTAATTATTAATTAACTAAATCTAATTTTCTTTCGCAAAATATCAACGAAGAAACTCAAGAAATCAGTTTAAAAAGCAATTTAGCTTGAATTTGATACGTTAAAGCAAGTTGATAATCAAGAAAATAAGTTGCCCGGCGAATAGTGTAAATAAGCTATTTCAAGGTATTCTCATTATCTGGTAGCTTACTGTATCTCAATGGTGACTGTACTACTTTATTATAATTCAGTAAAAATTTTTTACAGTGTGCGCCAAATGGAGCTATTTAATTGCTGTGCGGACTAAAAAAGCTAAATATATAATATGTAAGATTCAAGTTTTATTAATGTTTCATGTTCATTGTCATCCATTTCTTAATCACAGAAATTCATATTTTCAGATGATCCTGGTTATTTATCTGAAGCTGTTTATTTTAAAGACCAATGTTTGATTGATACAACCTGTCTAAGTGAATTATTTACAAATTTAATAGTTAGTTGATATTATTGATCTTTTTTGCATTTTTAATCAAATATTCAATTTTCTTATTTACTTGATTAACGCAGGTTGTTGAATTACCTGTTAGTTTATATCAAAAAGTAGAAGATGCTATTGAATTTGTTAAAAACCAAAAATCTTTGAAAGGATTAATCAAAAATATGGAAGAACCGATAGAAAAATATATTGATGAACTCGAAATGCTTTCCGTCTTTGATTTCAATCCAAACAATTTAAGAAATGGTTCCAGCTTAAAGCAATTGGATGTTGGGGAATATAGTCTAAAAGCTTTGGAAAGAGATGCACATTATTTGCCAAACCTTGAAAAACTAACGATTCAAATTATTGGTAATTATAAAATATTTTTAAGTAATATTTTGGTCAGAAGGCTTCATTTATGAAATCTATCCTTCAGGTGTAGACAATCCCTACGATGGTCCCGTATTGGAAAAGCTCAAAATACTTGAGATTTATCACTATTACGATTGCTTCCCTGCAGAACAATTGTTCTATGGTTTCCAGTTGATAGATTTATGTCCAAATTTACAAAGTGCACATATATGCATCGATATTACTAATTGGTTTTTTGATGAAACATTGAAACACAAATGTTTGCAAGACTTAGTTATACAATTTGTAAGTATTGTTCAGCTTTGAAATGTTTTTGCTCTTTTGAATATACAAAATTGAGATACATATCAGATTAAAATCAACAAGATTAGTTTACGTCAACATAGAAAGGGTCATCTGAGTGAAAGCTTTCCGTATAAACTAATTGATTTTATATTTATAGGATGGATATGCTAAAGCTAATGATACCTGGAATAAATGTAAAAGATTGCTTATGAAATATCCGAATCTCAAACATCTTGCGTTGAGGAGTATTTTGGATATAACAGATGAACATATCGAGCAATTGATTCACATTTTACCCAATTTAGTGCTATTGGATGTTATCGGGCTTGATGGAGTCACTCAAAGAGCTGCTGATTATGTTAAAGATTATTGCAGAAGAAATGGCCGATCAACCAAATTTTACTTCAATGGAAATTGTAATGAAATCAAATCAGATTGGCCTCAGTTATCCACTAAACATGTAATAATTAGTCGAGGCTTTGATTTCATGAAACATTGCTTTCGCAAAGACTTTTGGTCCCTTTCAGATTTTTTGATTCCAATTGATTATTGAAAAGTACTTATTAATATATTTTTTACCTTGAAAGCCCATTCGAAGAGTTTCAACTTAATCTCTGGATGAATGCACTTTATTTCGCGATCTATTTTTCTAATGAATATTATCTATTGTCTAACCTGTAGAAAAGTCTTTTTGGTCAAATGATTAGAACTTTAGATCCTTAGATAACTTTCATCGATGTTTCAAAAATTATGATGATAGGTAAAAGATAAATGGTTGTTGCTATATCTACACCCTGTAGTGATTCACCATTGAATGTTATTTTGGTTATAAACACTAGACTCAAGGAAAACTGTACTTTTAAGCATTTTATTCTTTTGATATTTCAATATTAAAACGTTGATCAACGAAATTCCCGATGATTGTTTGCTCGCCATTTTTGATTATTTAAACAACCTAAAGGATTTAATAAACTGCTATAAAGGTAAGTATCAATCATGTTTTTTGTGTCATAAAAATCGTCCTTTTCCATTGTAAGGAGTGTGTCACGCAAAATTGACTCTTGTTTAAATCGTAAATATAATATGTTCCATTAAATTTTTAAGTTTGAAAAGGTGTTTAGCTGTTCTTGAGACTCAAGACTTGATTTACATGGACGCAATTTGTATTTCTTTCACTTCTTATGATACCTTAGTTTTTTATGTTCAGACCAAATAGAAAAAACATTTTGAGTTTATCAGGAGCAGATTTAACTGTATCATAGTCGGTTTGTGTGAATTCAAAAAGTTGTTTAAATTTGAAGTGCAGTTCAATTCAATTCAATGTTTTCTTTAAAAAATAAAGATTCTTTTTCAATTTGACGAGAGTCAATTTTTAGTGACAGACACCCATTCAGTGATTATTGCAATTTTTGGGCAACCCTGAGCGTCGATTTTCTGAATTGACAGAGATAGTTTCGCATGAGTCAACTAGCTTCGGCTGTTGTTCATAATCACAGAAATTTTCAGATCATTTGGTTATTCATCTGATGCTGTTTATTATGAAAGATCAAGTTCGATTGAATCTACCTTTCTGAGTAAATTATTTACAAATTTAACAGTAGGTTGATAGTATTAATCGAATTTCGTTTTGCATTTTTATTTGAGTATTTAATTTTCTTATCCACCTTATTAACTTAGATCGCTGAATTGTCTTATGAATTACATCACAAAGTACTAGGTGTTCGGATGAACTATCCCTACATTGTCGCGTTTATAACTCAGCAACTATGAATACTAGAGAGATATGATATAAGCCATTCGATAGAAAAAACTGCTATTAAGGTAAGTACCAATCGTTTTTTTCATCCAATAATCGTCTATTTCCATTGTAAGAAGTGTGTCACGCAAAATTGACCCTTGTTTAAATCAAAAATATGCCTCAATTACATTATCAAGTTTAAAACGATATGTTCGGTTGTACTCGAGTTACATGGACGCAATTTGTATTTCTTTGACTCCTTAGTTTTTGTGCTCACAAACAGACTTTTGTCAGACTAAACCGAAAAACCATTTGAGCTGGTCAGGAGCAGATTTAACTGTGTCATAGCCGGTTTGTGAGAAACCATCAGTTGTTTCAATATTGTGATAAACTCGAAAAAAGTGCAAGTAAAACGTAAGTAAAATTTTTGTAATATTTTGATCATTATAATACATGACTCAATCAGATGACTATTGAGGCGCAGTATTGAAAATTTCTATGGATATCATAATAAGTCATGTTGTGTTGGTTCCGAAAGTACAATTAATTGTATGACAATGAAGTAAATCAACATTTATAAAATAAGTGTAATTTAATTACAGTGTGCGTTAAATGGAGCTATTTAATTGCTAAGCGGACTAAAAGAACTAAATATTTGATCGGTAAGATTCAAGTTTTATTAATATTTCATGCTCATTGTAACCCATTTCTTAATCACAGAAATTTATATTTCCAGAGGATCTTGGTTATTCATCTGATGCTGTTCATTTTCAAAGATCACGTTCGATTGATTCAACCTGTGTGAGCAAATTATTTAAAAATTTAATAGTAGGTTGATATTATTAATAAAACTTATTTTTTGAATTCGCAATTACATATTACACTTCTTATCCACCTTATTAACTTAGATTGCTGAATTGTCTCCCGATTTACATCTCAAAGTAGAAGACGCAATTGAATTTGTTAGCAAACAAGAATCATTGAGAGGATTGATCTGTAAGATATCACAAACCAATAGAAAAATATTGTGATAAACTCGAAATGTTATCTGTCATAAATTTCAATCCAAACAATTTACGGAATTGTTCCAGCCTAAAGCAATTAAATATTCGTGATTATACTCTAGAGGCTTTGAGCAGAGATGCACATTATTTGCCAAACCATGAAAGACTAAAGATTGAAATAGATATTAATTATGAAAATATTTTGCCCAGAAATGTTTGTTTATGCAAATCTATCGTTTAGTTCCAGAATATCCCTTGCTTTTTTGAAATATACAAATTTTTTGAGGTACATTTCAGAGTAAAATCAAAAAGGTGTCGTTAGGTCAGCATGGAAATGGTCATTTGTTCAAAATTTTTCCATATAAACTAATTGATTTTATATTTACAGGCTGAATACGAGGGCGGAATTGATACTTGGAATAATTTGACAAGATTGCTTATCAACAAGGCAAGGCAAATGCATAAAAAATCTAGGTTAAAAGGTTTAGGTATTTTTTATGACAAATACCTAAAGTTGCATAAAAAACCTAAAAAACCTAAATCACTGATAAAGGAAAAGGAAATATTAGATTGTTTAAGGCATGATTTTTGAGTTAAATTAAATTGAATTAAGTATAAGCATCAATGTATTTCTTTGTTCTATTAAATTAAATTTTTGTGTTAATTTTGACTTGAGTTTTACCCTAAAAATGACCAGCAAATTACAAATTTTGTGGCATAAATATATTCGTCAATATGGTCAAGATTTTTGTGTTGAAAATGAAAAGTTTAAGTGCAACAAATGTGACATTTTTCTCAACGTAACCAGGCGATCACAAATTGACCAACATATTAAAACTAAAAAACATATTGACTGCTGCCAAATCAATCCATCCAATGATCAGGATAATGAAGATAATGAAGTGGTGAATGAAGTTCAAGCCGAGTTCAATAGAGATCTTTTCAATGCTTTTGTCAAATCTGATATTCCATTAACTAAGCTTGAAAATGATGAGCTCAAAAACTTTCTCCTCAAATATACAAATATTGAATTGCCATCTGAACGAACTCTTAGAAGGATGCTTTTACCTGAATATCAAAAGGCCTTAAGTGACATAAGATCGCATATTGGTTCAAATAATATTTGGATATCGATTGATGAAACTTGTGATATTGCTGGTCGAAGTGTTGTTAATGTCATTGTTGGTATATTAGATGGCTTACCGGATAAAAAACCAATATTAATTCATGTTGAATACACTCAACCTCCAAATCATTCAATCATTGCTCAGGTTTTTGAAAATGCTTTATCAAAGCTTTGGCCTGATGGTAAGCATTATGAAAGAGTTCTTCTTTTTGTTACTGATGGAGCAAGTTATATGAAAAAAGCAGCTAAAGCTTTAAAAATAATTTACCCTAAAATGCTTCATATAACTTGTATTATTCATGGTTTGCATCGAGTTTGCGAGACAATCAGAACTTTGTTTCAATCTGTTGATAATTTAATTACTGAAGGTAAAAGAGTATTCCGAAAAGCTCCAAAACGAATTCAACTTTTGAAACAATTGAATTCAAATCTGCCAATTCCTCCTCAGCCAACGATTACAAGATGGGGAACATGGTTAGAAGCTTCTGTTTATTATTATAATTATTTTTCTGAATTCAAAATTATTGTCAATTCATTAGACTCGACTGAAGCAGCATCTATCGTAAGACTGAAACAAATCTTAGATGAACCTTCAATAATTTCTGACTTAGCTAGACTCAATAACTTTAGCTTCATTGTTGATAAATTGAAATTTTTACAAACAAGAAATCTTACTATTGATGATCAATTGAATTCAATTTCTGAAATTAAATTAAAATTAAGTAATCTTCATGGCGGTTTCATTACAGAAATAATCGAGAAATTTGAAACAGTTATCAACAAAAATACTGACTTAAAACAGATTGAAAAAATTTCGAAGATTGTTAATACATTTGAACCGATGCATTTAGATGAAATTGAATATGACCCAGTTCAATTGAATTCATTTAAATTTGCTCCATTGAGTAGTTCAGATATCGAAAGAACTTTTTCTCAATAGAAACTATCCTCAGACCAAACAGATTAAGCTTCACCGATGAAAACCTGAAAATGTATTTGATAATTCATTGCAATAAGCAATAAATAACAGTTTTGAAATACCTAAAAACACTTGACTTATGAACATATTTCTCATAAAAATTCACCTATATTTTCACATTAAAAATGTCATTAAAACCAGTTAAATTTATCTAATCATGCCTTGCCTTGCTTATGAATTATCCGAATCTCAAACATCTTGCGTTCACGGATATTTGGGATATAAAAGAGGAACTTATCGAACAATTGGTTCACATTTCACCCAATTTAGTGCTATTGCATGTTTTCGGGTGTGAGGGGGTCAATCAAAGAGCTGCTGATTATTTTAAAAGATATGGACGATCAATCAAATTTTACTTCGAAGGGAATCGCGATGAAATCGCATCAGATAGGCCTCATTTAGTCTTTACGCAAGAAGTAATTAGTCGAGGCTTTGATTTTCATGAAACATTACTTTTCGCAAAGACTTTAACTACCTTTTCAGATTTTTTGATTCCAATTGATTATTAAAAAAGTACCTATTAATAAATTCGTTATTTTCTACCTCGGAAGCCCATTCGAAAAGTTTCAACTTAATCTTTATTATTCATTCACTTGTTTTTCTAGTTGAATATTATCTATTGGCTAACCTAAAAGAAATGAGCAGATGCTTGAACCTTCAGAGACACAAACATGGG